TCAGTGCAGCGCTGGGAAATGCTCCTCCCCAAGACGGTGTTTGGGGCAGCCGAGGTGCCCCCAGGCATCCCCCGGGGAGCTGGAGGAGACAGGGCTGTTCCCGAGCTCCTCCAGTGTGGGCAGGGCACCGACGCTTCCAGCTCTCTGCCGACCTGGGGCACACGGAGCGCTGTGCAGGGCAGTGCCCTTTGATTTACGGGATCAGTTCGTTTGGAAAAGAACTCTGAGATCATCGAGACCAATCTGTGACCGATCCCTGCCCTGCAAACTAAACCCTGGCACTGAGTGCCACGTCCAGTCGTGTCTTGAACAGTTCCAAGCACGGGGACTCCACCATCTCCCTGGGCAGCCCTTCAGTGAAAAAATTCTTCCTCACGTCCAACCTGAGCCTCCCCTGGCACAGCTGGAGGCCGTTCCCTCTCCTCCTGTCCCTGTTCCCTGGGAGCAGAGCCTGATCCCCCCTCCTGTCAGGGACCTGCAGAGCCAGAAGGTCCCCCCAGAGCCTCCTTTTCTCCAGGCTGAGCCTCCCCAGCTCCCCCAGCCTCTCCTGCTGCTCCAGCCCCTTCCCCAGCTCCGCTCCGCTCTCTGGACACTCTCCAGCCCCTCTCAATGCCCTTCTCGCACCGAGGGGCCCAGAACTGGACACAGCACCAGAGGCGAAAGCGTTGGCCCCGCGGCACACAGCGCCCGCTCCGTCACCGCATCACGGCGGGCCATCGGCTCTCGGCGCCCCGCCGCAGGTCCCCGGGAAGGGCTGTTCCGAGCCAGGAAGGCCGAGGCGGCGGCAGCCCCACCGTTCCCGGGGGCGATTGAACGGCAGCCCCGCAGCCACCACCGCTCCCCGGCCATGCCCTCAGCGCCGCCGCCTCACGGCGCGCCCGCCCCACCCACTCGGCCGCATCACTCTACGCCTTCCCCGCGCGACCCTTCCGCGCCCGGTCCTCCCCTTCCCCTCTCCGCTCTCCTTCCCCGCCACCCCCTCCCCGCCGCCTTCCCCTCACCCTTCCCTTCCGCCACACGCGCGCCCCGCCGTTTCCCCGCCGCTCCCGGAGCGCGCCGGAGCGCGGGGACTATTTTTCCCCCGCCCCCCCGCGGGCGCGCCCGGCGGAGGTGTCGGCGGCGGCGCCGTGGCGGGTGGCGCGGCGGCGATGGCGGCGGCGCCGAGGCTGCGCTGAGGGGGGAGAGGGAGGGAGCGCTGAGGGGAGCGGGGGGGCGGCCGTGAGGGGAGGGAGGGAGGGAGGGGAGGCGCTGACAGCGCCGTGCCGAGCCGGGCCCGCCGCCCTCAGCCCGCCATGGCCGAGCCCGCGGCCTCTTCCAGCGCTGGCGCGCCGCTGCCGCTCATTGAATCAGGTAACAGCGCGGGCCGGGGCCAGGAGGCGCCGCCGGTGCCGCCATCTTCCTGCCCCCCCCTACGCCACCCTCCTCTCAGGATGGGGCACGGCCGCCCCCCGGCTCAGTCCATCCCACGGGTCTCTCCCTGTGTTTCTCGCAGAGCTTTACTTCCTCATCGCCCGGTTCCTGAGCACCGGGCCCTGCCGGAGAGCGCTGAAGGTGAGTGAGGGAGCGCGGCGCTCGCCGGGGCGCCGGGACCCCGCGCTGCCCGCCCGGGGTCGGGGGGAGGTGGGAGCAGCCGCGCCCCCCCCCCCTCCCCCGGCTCTGGAGAAACCAAATCCTGGCTCGTCCCTCACTCTGTGTTTTTTTCTTCTTTTCCCCTTTTCCACTGCAGGTGCTGGTGCAGGAGCTGGAGCAGCACCAGGTCTGTGTGGGCTCTGATGAAATCCCGCTGTAGTTAAAAGTTTCCCTTGCAAGTCATTCAAGTTTCTGCCGCTGTCTCAACTTTTCCCCCGCCTTCAACACACACATTGTTTTGGATGTGATCTGTAATCCCCTCCTTCCCCTTCAACCGCTCACGGTTTTTGTTTTGTTTTTGTTTTTTTTCTTTATTCAGTTGCTTCCTAAAAGATTGGATTGGCAAGGAAATGAGCATTATAGAAGTTACGAAGAATTGGTGAGACTTTTATCTTTCAAAACTCCCCCCTTTTGATTACCGTGCTAACAGCCGACGTTAAACCCTCTCTACCTTTATAACCAGGCCCGAACCTTCACCTTCCAGCATCGCTCCGGCTCCGGCCAGCGGAGTTATTTTAGAGAAGGGGCCTTTAATTTCTCTGACACCGGACTAACAAAAACACAAGCGGCGGTTTTAAATTGAGGATATTGTTTACATAGCAGAGGTGGAGCTTGGCGTTGTGCGGCGGTGGATGCCGCTGCCTACACGCAGGCGGGAGCCAATGTGCGCCCAGGTTTCATTTCGGAGTTTCAGGGGCGAGCTTGTGAGGCCCGCTTTGATTTGTCGGTATTTATTTTTTTGCTGGTTGGCTCCTTTCAGCCCCCCTCCAACAGATTAGGAAAGGAAATCGCTGCTCGGAAACCCGGAGGGTTGGCAGTTCTGGTGCCCGTGAATGTGCTCGTTATCTCTGGCTCCTCGCTGGTCACTGCTTTGTCTCCACATGCTGGAAGGATGAGGGGTGATCTCTCTCTCAGGAAAATGTACTTTCTGCCCTCCGGGGCTGATGCTGCTTGCTCTAAATGTTTTTACTTAAAGGAATGCTCTGTTCTGCTGCTTCATTTTGCTGCTTTTGAAATGGCAAAGTGTATTTGGCAGTTGAATCCCGTGAAGGGATGGCCTGGGGATGCCTGCCCAGCAGTGGTTTTTATCTTGCCTTATTCTGGTTGGGTTTGTTTTCTTTAAAGAGGTGTTTGCTCTTGCTTTTTTTCTCCCTCCCAAGATTCAGGCATTCCAGGTTGATTGATTGTTGTATTTCATTCCGTGTTGTGGAGCACTTAAAGATCTCGGGATTGTCTTTGGGAAGGAATGAATTTTTTCGTTTCAAACATTTTCTTAATGATTCAAGTGTTGCTCAGAACAATAAATTTGATTCCATTTCCTCTCCTTGTCAGTGTGGTCAGTCGAGCAAGTGAGGTTTTAGATGAGTTTTTTTAAGGCACTCAGAAGCCCAGTCTTGCTAAACAGGAATATCTTCAAGCTCTGACTTGAATTTAGCAGAGATGAAAGCAGGATTAAGTTTAAAAAGGATTGTTGGGAGTTCTTTTGTTGGTTCCTTGTCGGTTTTTTACCCCTTTTCTTCTGGCAAAAAGTGGGGTGTTGGGAGGTGTCCAGTGTGGATTCTTCTGACTTCAGGAGTGCTTTTAAACTGTGATTATTGCGCACATACAGATGTCAGGTTAATTCTTTAACATGTGCTGCTCCTGCCTCTTTTCCCTGCCCAGTTGGAGAGAAATGTCTACACAGGGCAGTAGTATTTGAGAATATCTAAATTAATCTTCTGAACTACTCAGTTTCTGCTTTGTGAGGGGTTTTGGGAACCTCTTGTCCCGCTGTTCTCCCTCTGAACTTGCACAGACCACGACAAATGCACTCATGGGGTGTGATTACTCTTTACCCTCTGCCTTCGTCAAGGCATTTTAAAGCTGTAAAATAACTGTTCCTCCCCAAATTTGAGTGGAACCACTTCCAAAGGAGAGGGGATTGCAAGGTTTTGCACACCAGGACTGAGTTTGGGCTGTGCACTTGCTGCTGGTGGCCTTGCAAACAAAAAGGGGTTTAGTGCTTGGCAGAAAGTGTGCTGAGCTTTCTGTCCTGAGTGCTGTGGCTGGCACTGCTCTGTACCAATGAAGAAACGATGAAAAAGTCCACTTTGTAATCTTAGAATCGATCCCAAGCATCCCATGAGCTGATTTTCCTGGATATATTTGCTCATGGGATGATGTGACCTGTTGGACTGACGTTCCCACCTCAGGAACACAACCCAAACCCCCACAAACCTCAAGCCCGGATTTTTTTATGATTAAAACAAGTGCAAGGCTGTGGCTTTCACTGTTCATTCCCACTGCTCAGAGGGCATTTGAGGAGCTTTTTGTTGCCCAGATCTGCCCTGCTGCATTTTCATTCCCGGCGCTCTGAGGAAGGAGATCAGCCCTGTCAGGACTTGGCTCATCCACGCTCAGTCATTTCAGCAGCAGCACGAGCTGGTTGTGCCTGTGTTCTCAGCTACCTGGGCAGGAGGCCACATACCTGGGTGTTGGTGTGGCCCTGTGCCTCTCCTGGATGGATTGATTGCCTGGGAATTGTGTGGTTCCTGAGGAGCAGAGTGGCTGATTCAGCCGCTGATTCCAGCAGGGTCTGACTGGTTTCTCTGATTCACACCTTCCCAACAGCTTCAGTTCAGGATTCTGATGCTTTGCTTTGCTTGGGGCTGTTCAACCCCTCCTCTGCACCTTTACCTGCTGCATTGTTGGGATTGAACTTGGAAAGAATAAGGGTTTTTTTTTTGTGGAACACTCAGAAAGAAGAGGGAAAGAATAATCCAACCCTGTACCCATCTGCTCTAGGCTGAGCCATCTGAGTGCGTGTGGGGGTGTGGAGTTTTTAGGTTGGTTGATGCAGATTGTGTGGGATCACTCCTGAGTGTAGGGATGACTTTTGGTTTAAGGAAGTAGGGCAGGCTTGGCAGTGCTGGTTTTTCCAGGAAGCTATTTCCAGGGAGATTGTACTCAAACCTGCCACTTTGCAGTTCACTGAGCAAGTGCTGTGTGGCTGAAGGAGTAGCTGCACAGATTCTCGTGCCTGATTGCAACCACATTCTGCATGACCTTGAGTTATGTGAGGCTTTGAATTTGAATTCTTGTTTTTAACACAGATAATTGGGTGAAATGGGCAAAGACTCTCACTTGTAGGGTGGTTATTTGAAGCATCCAGTGCTAAAATACTGATGTGCAGTGGGTTACTTTTTTACTGCAGTTATTTTTACTCCTCCCTTGCTTGTAGAGGCCTCACTGAATTTACTAGATCAGGCAGCATTAAATTTGGGTTGTAAGTTAAAGTTCTAATTTATTTAATAAACCTGTGAATGCTGATGCTTTCAGATTCATCTGTTCTACAGATTTTTATTTTTTTTAATTAAATTCCTGTCAGGTGCTATCCAACAAACATGTGGCTCCAGATCATTTATTACAAATTTGCAAGAGGATTGGCCCTATCCTGGATAAGGAGATCCCACCCAGCATTTCCAGAGTCAATTCCTTGCTGGGTGCAGGGAGGCAGTCACTGCTCAGGACAGCAAAAGGTGAGCTTGGGGTTTTTTTTTGGGATGAGAATGATCCAATGTTAGATGTGCATAGTTAAGAGTTTGGGAATGCTTGGGAATTCTGTCCATCCACTGAGGAAAATCATCCATGATTTAGGGAGTGGTTGGCAGTGCATGAAGATGTGCTTTGATACAGAGTGGATTTTAGTGGGGGATTTCCCTCTCTGGGTGTGCCTGGGGCGAGGGTGTTGATGTGTCTGGGTGAGTTCGGGGGGGGTTCCTGGACACTGGGATATGGGACTGGTTTATGGGACACTGGGGTGTTTTCACTTGCCTGCCCTGCCTGCTTTAAAGGATGCCCAGGGAATGCTGGGCACGGTCCAGTCCTGGAAATTGGGATTGCAGTTATGTCAGCAGGATATCAGAATGACTGTCAATTTGGGATTTTTTTTTTTAAGAAGGGACATCTTGGAATTAAAGGATGGTTTGGGTTGGAAGGGACCTCAAAGCTCATCTCATTCCAAGTCCTCTGCCATGGGCAGGTACACTTTCCACTATCCCAGGTTGCTTCAAGCCCTGTCCAGCCTGGCCTTGGACACTTCCAGGGATTGGGCATCCACAATTCCTTTGGGTAACCTGTGCCAGGATCTTCCCACTTTCCCAGGGGAGAATTCCTGGTATCCCATCTAACCCTGCCCTCCCTCAGCTTGAGGCAGTTCCCCCTTGTCCTCGTGAAAAGCCCCTCCCCAGCTTTCTTGCAAGCCCCTTCGAGGTACTTAAAAGGTCTTGAGATCATCTCAATTTCGTACTGATAAATATTAAATAAATCTTAATTAAATTTCTGAATAAATATTCGTGAGAATGTTAAAAATCTTCACAGCTTTGCACTGAGAACAAGCAGCAAAAATTCAGTTGAAAAGCTTGTTTGGCCATCAGTTGGGAGTGATTCAGAGTTTGGGGGTTGGTTTTGTCTGTGTTCCCTCCTGTTATTAAATGGATTTTTATTAAATGGATTTTTATTAAACGGATGTTCATTAGGTGGATTTTTAATCTCCTCTGATGCTGCACTGTTTGTGTAAAGTTTGGGGGCATTCCTGGCTTTTTGGTGGGTTAAATCCCGTGCTTGAGGCCACCTCTAGGTGGGCTCTTTGGAATCGCATCTCTCTGGGCATTTTTGACGTGTGTTGATGAACATCAACCAAGTGGTTTTGCAGATTGCAGGAACACTGTCTGGAAGGGCTCTGCATTTGCTGCTCTGCACCGAGGGAGACCCCCCGAAATGCCTGTGAATTATGGCAGCCCCCCAAACCTCGGTAAGCTCTGCTAAGACACCCCCCACACACACTGCTGCTGCTTTTACACCCCCCAACAAAAGTGCAAATACAAAGAAACCTGGCATAATGACATCTGAAAATCACTTCTACTGAAGTCTTTAAGTGATATTTTGATGGAAGTTGAATAAAAGTGTGGTTTAGGGTCAACACGATTATTTTTTTAAGCATGATTTCTGTGTGTTGCAGTGGAAGTGCATCGAGCAAAGCAGTTAACTGGGTATGCCAAGTTCAGCACCTCATTCCCAGGCACCATGTACCAGCATGTCAAGATGCACAGGAGGATCCTTGGCCACCTTTCCTCTGTGTATTGCGTTGCGTTTGATAGGACTGGACACAGAATATTTACTGTAAGTTGATGAAGCACATCCCAGTCTGAAAACCCCTTCGAGATGGATCTCGGCGGTGCTAAAACGATCAGCTCCCTGTCAGTAGGAACTGACAGTGTCAGTGGAACAGTTGGCTGGAATTAAAGGCCAGAAGTTGTTGTCTTCACCAACCATTTCTTTGCAGGGCTCAGATGACTGCCTGGTGAAGATCTGGTCGACTCACAACGGCAGATTGTTTGCCACCCTGAGGGGCCACTCAGCAGAGATCTCTGACATGGCGGTGAATTACGAGAACACCATGATTGCAGCGGGGAGCTGTGACAAAATGATCCGAGTGTGGTGCCTGAGAACCTGTGCTCCTGTCGCTGTCCTGCACGGCCACACAGGCTCCATCACCTCCTTGCAGGTAGGGGGGGGTAGTTCCAGGGGTTCTGGGAATTGCCACGTCCTGCTGGTTGTTACTGGAGGCACAGTGGGCTGGTTGATATGGATGAGTGTCCTGATCCAGTGTGGGATTCCCACAACTTATATGATGCAGTTTTTTGTCTTAATCTCCAAAATACGAGTTACCTGAGAAGCACAAAGATGTTCAGTGTGCCGTGTTGTGGATTGAATTTGAAGGCCTTGATGTGCTCTTGCTGGTCCTTTGGATTCAGTCTCACTTTGGCCTTTATAATCCCTTATTTAATGTAATTTATTAATCCCATATTTAATATCCCTTATCAGAATCCCTTATTTGCTGTGTTTTCCAGTGGAACCAACAGCTCATGTTGAGGGGTGAGGGAGCTGCTTGGGAAGCTCAGTACAAAAAAATATTCTTGCATTATTTCTCTGCCTCTGAGAGATATCTTCCAGTTTCTGTGGCATTCATTGCATTTTTGTTAGTTTTTTTTGTTTTTTTTTTTTTAGTGTGTGGATTTTTCTCAATTTAATATTTCTTACTGATACTGTGGTTGCACTATGCACAATTTTTATGGCTGTTATAACATCAGTAATTGATGAGCAATTTAATCACATTGTGTTGTGTGAAGTTTTCTGAAGGGTTGGTCCGTGCACAGCAATAAATTCGCGTATTCAAGGACTATTTCTGAGGACTTCCTGAGTTACACATTCAAATTACCTCCTAACTCCTGCTCTGCCTAATTACAGAATTTTTGGAGTACATCTGTCCAGCCAAACTTCCTTTTTTTTCACTATCTGCTCTACTTATTAATCTCAGTCCTGGCCAAAATGTGCAGTGAATGATTGTGGTCGGTTCATACCTCACCACCAAACCACTGAACAAATTGGGTTTATGTGATGCAACAATTGAAATGCAGACCACAAAGTTATTTTTTTAAAGGTGGAAGATCTTACTTTGTGAACACTAAAAATACTGATTTAAAATTGTTTAAAATTTCTTTCTCTGTGTGTGTGTGTGATTTGTTTTTATTCCCTTCAGTTCAGTCCCATGGTGAAAGGCTCCATGAGGTACATGGTGTCCACTGGTGCAGATGGAACTGTTTGCTTCTGGCAGTGGGACACAGATTCCATGAAATTCAAGTATGTAAATGAGCTGCTACCGCACCCCCTTGTGCCATCCTGGGCTTGAGTAAAACAAGTCAGGTGCTTTTAACTCCATACCAGCTAAAACCAAAAAATAATTGGGGTTTGGGATGAAAAAACATCGTGGAAATAATTAATTCTGTAATTATTATTAAATAATTCACGACATTTTGTTGTCTTGGGAGATTAGTTGGGAAATACACTAAGAGCCAACAGGAATGGCTGGAAATGTAAATAGGATGCAAAGCATAATAAAGCTCCTTGTTGGTGTTGGGTTTCCAACGCTCCTGGAGTTTTTGGATGCCTCTTACAGAATTCCAGGCAGGGTGTGCACGGCCAGGATAGTTTTACATGTTCTGTGTGTGGATTGTAAGCCCCCAAAGAATGAGATTATTACCAGAAAGAAGAGATTCAGGATGATTTGTTTTTGTCTGCTATCGTGCCATATCATGAGAGCTGATATAAAATGATCCCTTTTGCATTAAGATATGTTATTAAAAAAAGCTCAGAGCCTTAGAAAGCAGATTATATTTTATTATTGCATTTTAGCTTTTTCATTCAAACTTGTGATCTTAAGGTAGAAGAACTGCAGCAAAAGCACAGTCTCACCTGAAGAATCTTTCAGGGCTGTAAAACAGTGTTTTAAACAGCATCCTTAATTATTTTCCTTCTAAAATTAACTTCAAGGACTGTGTGTGAGGGAACCACTGTCAGTTCATGCATGGACTTAAATAACTGTAAGCACTGGGAGTCCTCAAACATTTACAGAAGTCCCTGCATTGAAGAATTCCCTGTTTTGTAGCAGTTGGAAAAAACATCCCTTTATGTTTTGAACTGTTGAGAAGAGCCAAGTTTTGGGTGGTGGGAGCTGTTTCAAAGCATCTTTTATTTTGTTGTGTTGTTTTTTTTTTTTTTAAGCAACCGCCCACTGAGGTTCACAGAGAAACCCAGGCCAGGGGTGCAGATGCTTTGCTCTTCCTTCAGTGTGGGTAAGTCCTGGATAGTCCTGGAGTGATTTCCTTCCTCAGAAATAAAATATTTGCTTGAGACAGCTTTCAAATGGACAAAACCTGCAGCTGGCAGTGAATAATTGTAGAGACGTAAATAATTGCATATAAGCTGTGACATCATTAAATCCTGGGGCTTCCCTCAGCTGACAGTGAAAAGCTGTTGAAGGAAGTGATTTCACAGAAGTAAAAATCACCTGATGTTGGTTTATTTTGGTTTGATCCATTGACACAATATGAGGGATTTGCAAAACAAGTTCTCTCAAGATCCCACAGTCACCAGCAGTGGAAGTGGTTCCTGCCAGCTGGAATCTCCTGATTTTTGTGCCAGGGATGGTTCTAAAGATCCCTTCTTTCCAAAGGATCCACAAATGTCCCTGGAAAGCTGCGTGCACTTTGCTTTCCTCCAGTTCTTTGGGGGCTTTCTGGGAATGTCAGGAATAAAATACAAATAATCCGAGTGTAAATTGTTTCCTTGCATCTGTGTCAGTGGAAGAGCATAAAAAATGTGCCATTCTTCAAATAGTTGTGTTTTGCTTTTTTTTATTTCAATTAGAAATGTTGATGATCTGCTTTAATTTCTTACACACTACCTTAATTATTGCTTTATATAAGTTGTTTTTTTTTTTTTTTTACAGGTGGCATGTTTTTAGCAACTGGCAGCACTGACCACGTCATCAGGATGTATTTTTTTGGCTCTGAAACACCTGTGAAAATAGCAGAACTGGCAAGTCATGCTGTAAGTAGTGAGTTAATTAATCAACTAGTCACTTTGAGCAGTAATGAAGTCACAAGGTAATATTACAACCTGTTTTTTTCCCAATTTCTCCTGCAGTTTTTACTGTGATAAAAGTGAAGAACTGATAGTTTATTTCTTTAGTAGGAGTGGGAGCAACACATTCCTCACCACTGGTTTATGGTATTGGGAATATATTCAAATATTATTCAATTGGCAGCCAGGTTATTTAATCTGTTAATCCTTCATGTTTAATTTGGGCTGTTCATAAAACCTGCATTTTAAATGTGTTAATGCTTAGTGAATTTGTTGGACTTGGTTCTCCTTGCAGTTTAAAAACTCTTAGAAATTATAAAATGTTAATTTTTTTTCCTTCTTTCAGATTTTACTGAGCTCAGGTTTGTCAAAAACTGTATTTCCTGTTGAAAAAACCCCAAATTTTCTAACAAACTCTACTTTTTGTTCCAGGACAAAGTTGACAGCATTCAGTTCTCTAATGGTGGGGACAGGTATGTTGAAAAATGCTCGTGTGAACCAAAAAATGCATCATTTTGGAATTAATAATAATTAATAATTATTGTTCTTACCTGGATGTTTCCAAGGAGAAAAATCCACGTATTTGTAACTCAGAGAGGGGAAATTTGGACTGATCCAGGAAAGCTTCATTTACCTGGAGGAACTTTTTAATCTACCCAGTGTATTTGTGGCTTCATAAACCTCCCTTTCCCCCTCCTTTCCTTTCAATGTCAGGAAATATTGTAAAGAAAATAAGTAAAAGTGCAGTGAAAATGGTCAAAATTAATTTATAATCCTTTTCACCTGATCTGTTCTTGCCTCTGGTTCAGTACCTGATACTCTGCCGTCCCTTGAAACACATCATTAAAATGTTGTCACTGAGGAGTTGAGGATGATTTCACTTCTGTGACTCCCCCACTGCAAAACTGCTGTGTGTAACTCGAAATCTGCTTCAAAGCAAACCCTTTTAAAGGTGAATGAACTCTTTATTTTTAATATTTCCTCAGGTTCATCAGTGGCAGCAGGGATGGCACAGCCAGGATCTGGCACTTCGAGCAGGCAGAGTGGAGGAGCATCTTGTTGGACATGTCTGATCGACTGCTGGGGTAGGTGGGGAGAGTTGATTTCTTGTTTTGTGAAGTCACAAAGATTGAAAAGCCCAATTACTCCAATTGCAGATGAAGAGCAGGGTGTGTTTCTTGCTGGAGAAACCTGAAGGGTGGATAATTTCCAGGATGCTCAGGACGCTAAAGAGGAGTTGATTTGTGGGTGATTAAATGAGGTTTTAATGATGTGATTTGTAGGTGATGAAATTAAAAGCCAAGCCTTTAATTGGGTGCAGGAGTTGGTTGGAGGGTGATTTGCAGCTCTTCTTGTGGTGCAGCCATGGAAAATAAACATGATTTTACAAAGAAAGGATGAGTTATTATTAATATTTGAGGTTTGACTGGAGTTGTGGAGATCAGAGAGGCCTCTGGTTGACATGGAATCCAGATAATCCTGGGGGAATGTGTGTTCCAAGGAAAGCTTGTTCCTGCGCTTGCACTAAAATGCTGAGGGGGAGTTTTACAGTATCCTGTAAGTGTATTTTGGGCAAAGAATAAGGAAATAGATTGAGGTTGAAACAAAATATTTTTTTTGCTATATTTGTGTGAGGACTCAGGAAAAAAAAAAAAACCTTGGCTAAGGTAGAAATTGGCTTCTGAATCAGTTAATTTGGAAAACCTGCCTGAAAAAAGTCCCAAATTCTGAAGGATTTCTGTTAGGACTCTGTAGAAGAGCCAAGCCCCCATGGAAAAGGGGGGGAAAAAAATCCTCTAAAATAAATATGCTAAAAATCCAGTTTTGCTTTGAGTGAAAGAAGTTAAAGGACAAAAATTTCAACCCAAGTTAATTTGTTCTTCACTTCATTTGTGTGGTTATGAGCAGGCAGGTTCTCTTCCTGCATTTTGAGGTAGAAATGTGCTGATTAAGGGGTTGACTCTTCCCAACAGTGACACTTGTGCAGAAGAAGACAAATTCATGAAGCCCAAAGTGACCATGATCGCCTGGAACCAGAACGACAATTACGTCGTCACCGCCGTCAACAATCACCTGCTCAAAGTGTGGAATTCCTGCACGGGCCAGCTGCTCCATGACCTGGTGGTATGTCCCTTTTTCCTTGGAATTGCAGGGGCAATTCACAGTCCCCTTTGGCAAAATATTCCTACAAGTTCTTGCTTGAATCCAGAAAATTCTTACCTGTTGAATTCAAAGCCTTTCTGGCTGCCTGGGGTTTGATTTTCCAGAGGGGGTGACCCAGGGCTTTGTTAAACACTTGCTGCACGTGCTGTAAATCCCCTGGTGCTGTGGATTTTCCTGGTGGTGATGATGTGCAACGTGCAATTGCAGGGCCATGCAGATGAGGTGTTTGTGTTGGAGCCCCACCCCTTTGATTCCAGGATAATGCTGTCTGCGGGTCACGACGGCAACATCTTCATCTGGGACATCACCAAAGGCACCAAAACCAAGCACTACTTTAACATGGTAAGACCTTTCTCAAACGCAATTTATTCCCAAAACCTCCCCAACTTAAGGAATTTTCAGCAACACTCACACCCCTTGCACCTTCTTGGAAAAAAAAAAACCAAAAAAACAACCCTAACCCAGCAAAATTTATGTTCATATTTTTTACCTTTGAATTTCCTGGTTATCGCAGCTTTTCTACTCTTTTTTTTTTTTTTTTTTAACTAAAGGATGCACCTCATTCCTAGGAACTGTTTTCCCTCAGCTTGAGGTGCCATCTGCAAGTTTCTGGTTGGGATCTTATTTTCTACTGTCTTAAAAATTGTAATGTTGTATTACTCATTAGCACAGTTCTTGAGAGCTCCCATTACATTTGCTCCATTTCCCAGCTCGTGGTTAACCCTTTAAATTTAGGTTATTTTCTCTGAGATTTCAGTTATAATCTGAAGTTCATAGAATTTTCTGACCCTTTTATTTTTTTCTGGTTAGTCAACAGGAAAGGCATTTTTTTTTTTAGCTCTGAGATCCTCTGAGTTTTTCCTGCAAGTGGTTTAACAAAATCAATATATATTAGCTCCAGTTTACTTTAATCTTTACTTAAAACACCTTTATTTCTTTGCTTTTTTTTTTTATTTTTGCTGAACAGCAAATTTTCCTGCCCTTTAGTGCACCTTTGAAATTCAGAGGGAAAAGGAAATGTCAAAGATTAAAAAAAAAAACAAGTAATAACAAGATTATTTGTGCCTTCAGGGAGCTATTTAGGAGCTGTGCATGATTTTTTTGGGTGGAATAATGAATTTTTGCTGTGAATTATGGTTTTCTGGCACAAAAAAACCCCTAGTAACGTGGAGGTTTCTCTCCCTCCCCTGCAGATCGAAGGCCAAGGCCACGGGGCCGTGTTTGACTGTAAATTCTCCCCGGATGGGCAGCATTTTGCATGCACAGACTCCCACGGGCACCTGCTGATCTTCGGCTTTGGCTGCAGCAGGACTTACGAAAAGGTGAGCTCAGCTTTCCATCCCAGCTCTGCCTCAGCTTTCTGACTCAAATCACAGGAGTTGCTTTCAATTCTTTTACAAAAATAGAGGTTTGTGTGGTTACAGATGGTTTTTTGATGCCTCTCAGTTCTCTTGCTTGTGTGCTCCTGGCCCAGCAGGAACAGCCACTGTCTTAACATTCCCTCAGGAGAAGCTCCCAGGAACTTCTCTGGAATACATTTCCACCTTCCACCAATTCACATTAATTATTCAACCTCAGAATTGCTTTTGTTTCTGATTTCTGGCAGTAGCTCAGTGTCTAAAGGTGACAAAGTTTATTGCTCTGCTACCTGCTGAAACAAAAGCAGCCTCTGCGTATGGGAGGGGTGATTGGCTGGTTTATCTTGCCCTTCCTTTGGCCTTTCCACGTTCAAGCCCAAATTCCCAGGAGTTGATTCAAGTCAGTACAGGTAAATATTCATCCAGCACTGTGGATTTGGAAGTGTTATAAAAATGTGTGTGGGGACCAGTGTTGGGTTGTTGTGAATCAGCCTGTTTGCTTTTTGTTTTGATAAATACACGTGTTTCTTCTTTTCATCACTCCCCCTCATTTTTCTTCAGGTTGAAATGATAATTCCATGTATTTCATTTTAAAGAACTATTTTATTTTCTTGCTCTACCTTCTTATGAAGTTGAAGCTTGTTCTCTTCATCTTTCCCACCTGCCTGGGATCTGGTATTTTACATAACTGTTTTCCTTCAGCCTCCTGGACTCAGTAGAATTTCAGTTGCAAAAGAATTTTCAGGTGGACACAGATGAAAATTAAGAAAGAATTCACGATTGGGAACCTTGAGAGCTGATGTTGAGCTTTAGGCAATGATCTCATTACATGGAAACCAAAGAAACTTCTCTTAATTATAGGGAGAAAAAGTAGAATGAGATCTAAAATATTTCCAAGTGTCAAACAGTGCTTTTGCTTTAATTTACTTCATCTTTTGGGGCAAAAGCACCGTGAAAAATCGGAATACTGCGACACCCCTCCAGGATAATTGAAGCTGTGCACAACTTCTTGTTGGGAACTTGCCCTTTAGGGAGATTTTGGTGCTTTATTCTGTCCTTTTGGCATCTTCTTTTTGCCCAGTTGATGACCCAACAATCCCATTTCCCTCAGATTCCTGACCAGATGTTCTTCCACACGGACTATCGGCCGCTGATCCGAGACTCCAACAACTACGTCCTGGACGAGCAGACCCAGCAGGCCCCTCATCTCATGCCCCCTCCCTTCTTAGTGGATGTGGATGGAAACCCTCATCCCACGAAATACCAAAGGCTGGTGCCAGGAAGAGAGAACTGTGCTGATGAACATCTGATCCCTCAGCTTGGCTATGTGGCAACAAGTAAGGACCAAACCGCTCCGGCCCGGCTCGCCTGGCGGGTTCTCCCTCCTGAAATTCTCCCTTGGAATGAAACAATTGGAATAATTCCATCCCTTTGGTTTGTTTTGCCACTTGCAAGGTGACGGAGAGGTGGTTGAGCAGGTGATTGGGCAGCAGACCATGGATCAGGAGGAGCAGGGCATGGAGCCCAGCATCCTGGATGGGATGATCCGCCAGCTGCAGCTGGAGCAGGACCAGAGGACTGCAGCTGACCCAGAGGCTGCTCCCAACGCCCCCCACAACGGGGAGGGGACCCCCAGGAGAGGTTGGTGATCACTGATAACAAAACAGCTACTCTTGGGAATGAATTCCAAAACAAAGCCTTTCACTTTCCCTTTCGAACAGCGTTAATTGTGCTCCTCGTGGGGTTCTACTCAATAATACTCCAGCAACATTTATGCAGCATAAACACAATACTCATTTTCTCCAAAATATTTGCCAATATAAATATAAATAATGTGAATATAAATGTTTTTGCAATGCTTACTTTTTGGCAAAATAAGAATTGTGCCATTATTCAAACTGGTTTCTCCTCTCCCTCCTTTACAGATTCAAACAAGACACTTGTCTGAGCTGTGTCCTTGTAGTTTGAACTACAGAATTAATATATATATATATAAATATATTATGGTGTATAATTATTAAGTAGGTGATATGTAATCATGTCAACACATGATATGTAATTATATTTAATTATATAATAATTTATTTCTAATTCTCTACACTCAGCTGCAGGGAAAGTGCCTTTTAGAGCCTCAGCAGCCTCAGAGCTGCCTGGAACTTCAAGCAAACCCCTGTGTCACATCCCACCTCCTCCCACTGTATTAAAATAGCAGAAATAATAAGTTTTAAAAATCTCTCTGTATTTTCTGTATAACTTCTACATTTTCTATGACACAGAGAATTCTTGAAGGTTGAAGCCACGTCCTCACGATCGTAGTGATACACATAATAATTCTATATATTATTAAATAGTTATATTAAAAGCATTAATTATTTTGGAGTAATTATATTAAAAGCATTAATTATTTTGGAGTAACAAGGCTCTAATTCTGATTTAAAAAAAAACCAAAAAGGGTGTTTTTTGTGTGTTTCAGCTTTCAGGAGGCCGAGTGTGGACATGCAGAGCCCCCCCAACATCGGGCTGAGGCGCAGCGGGCAGGTGGAAGGGGTCAGGCAGATGCACCAGAACGCCCCACGCAGCCAGATGGCCACGGAGAGGGACCTGCAGGCCTGGAGGAGGAGGGTGGTGGTGCCTGAAATCCCCCCCAGCCTGCTCAGGTGGGTGAGCAGAGAGGACACTGGAGCTTGGTTTGGATACACCTGGTGGAGCAAAGCTCCGGTGGGTGCTGTGGGAGTGGCTCAGGGTTGTGGTCAGGTGGGTTTAAAACACTCAAGCCCACTCAGCAGGAATGCATGGAAGTTTTTCTACTTGAATGGTCATCTCATATTTCAATATATTCACTCATCTTCAAGGCCAGCTAGATGATCTGAATTCTTGCTTTCTCCAAAATAAAGGGTAGGGGTTGAAATAATTTACATGAAAGAGTTGATGGAAGTTGTGCTTTCTGTGAGACTTTTGGGGTTGATTTATGACCAGTGAGGTTGTGCTTTCTGTGAGACTCTCAGGGGTGATTTATGACCAGGAGCAGCACCAAGCACTTGAAAATAAAAAGCTGGGAAGGTCTAACCCTAAAAGAGCTGCTTTTCCAAAGGATTTTCAGTATTAGAACACGGTGATGGTAATGCAACAGAAAATCCCCACATGGGCCACTCACTCCAGAGCTGGGCTGAGATGATCCTTGTGGGTCACTTCCAGCTCAGAATATTCTGTGATTCATCTGTAAAATGGAGAATTAATAGCTAAATATTTCTTTTTAGTGGTACAGCCATCTGTGCTGCCACATCTCTGAAGGTTTCAAGCAGCATTCCCTATGCTGGGAAGTAGAAAGATTGCAAAGAGAGGAATGTGGGTTAAAAGCGGGGTTGGAAAAGTTGGTTGTGTTTGGATATTTGCAAGGAAGAATTTCTTGATATCCATCTTTTTTTACTCTTACCTGGAAATGAGAGGAGAGTTGTTTGAGCAATAAGAACAGCAATTAATAGTGAAGTGGAATTGGGCATTTTGGGATAGATCCTTTAACGAGATCAGCACTGTCAGAACAGCTGGAGAGTGAGATTTTCCCCACTTTTCTTGCAGGAAGCAGGAAGAATATCGGATTGCAAAGGGGGAAGAAGAGAGAGATCTTTATGTGACAGAGAAGATAAAGTCATTTGAGTCACTGGAAAAGGTAACGTGGCAGCTCCTTGGAAAATGGGCATTCTGTGCCCAGGGACAGGTGGTGTGAAAATTAAAAACAGGTCATTCTGAAGGTGTGGCCCTCAGAGGACCCTGATGATTCATCTTCCAGTTATTGCAGGGCAAGGTTTGAATTATTTTTATGAAAACCTGGAATTCTTTATGTTCTCAGCCCTGCCTCCTTCCACCCTTTCACCCTCAGACAGCTGTGCCACATCAATATTTGCCTGTCATTAATTTTCCCACCTCCTGTGTCAATCAGAGCGACTCCGAGTCCTCGTTAATCCAATCCAAGCGGCGGCTGCACCGACGGAAATATTCCAATTATCGGACTCGGAACAACATCGACCAGCTGGAATCTTCTGATGAGGAGAGGGACAACTGCTTGGGCTTGATAGAGCAGGTAAGTTCTTTCCTGCAGTTCTCATTTTGGAGCTGGAGCTGCTCAGTAAGTGAAGTTTTATTTAAATGTGCCTTTCCTCTCTTCAAACAAACAAAGAAACCTCCTCTTTTTCCAGAGGAATTCTTTTCCTGGGCATCATTTTTATTGGCATTTGATGTTTGTTGCTTTGATACCAACAGACTTTCCTGTCACTTTATAATAAACAACTGAACTGGTTTTGCTGAGAATCCTCTAAACCAAACCCACAGCCCAAGGCAAAAATCTGATGGACTATTGACTTGAGCTGAAATTGGGATTTTTAGACGGGTTTTGCTGTTTCTGCTTGAAAACCTCCCGAATTCTTGCACAAAACTGAAAAGTGGATATTTGGAAGGTTCTTGGTGATGTGATTGTTCCCCAGGGGGGTCTTTTCCTCTTGGTTTGAGGTGACTTTGCTGTGGGCAGCAGAACTTTTGGCTGTTTTGTTATCAGATGGTGCAAATCAGTGGTTGGACTGGAGGTGTTTTAAGGAGGGAAAGGAAGTAATCTCAAACTGGGAAAATATTTGAAGTAATAATCTTACAAAAATCTGAGCATTGATGTAAATGTTCAAGGGGTTTTTTTGTTCATTTTTTGGTTTTATGCCTGTGAATGGTAGGGTAAAAAAAGAACTGAAATTTCAGATTTAAATCTTGTTTATTGGGGTCTTGCAGCATGTAAATTCCTCCCCCTGAGAGAGATTTCGAGCTGTACTTCACATGCCCTAATTCCTTTCATTTCCATTGTGACTTTTCACCTCATTTTTTCCTGACTTGATGACTTGAATGTGGGGTTTATGTTTCAAATCCTTAAAAACACCTGCTGGGAGAAAATTTGGGCTTGACCGCTTGCCTTGTAAATTTAGGAAGCTGAAGAAAGTGAAGGCTCTGGCTCGTCAGATGAAGAGGAAGAGTGGAGAAGTGACAAGAAAAGCAACAGTAACAGTTCCAGGTAAAAAGTGACCCCAGATTTTATTTGGTGATGAGTTGGACTTGAATTTTGGCAGCTTCAGAGTTGCACTGAAGCTCTGGGGGTGCCTCAGATGTGATTCCATCCTGTGTCATCGTTCACACACTTTTCCTGACACGGTGAATTGGGATTTACTGTTCCATTTCCCCACATAATTTCTGTCTTTTAAAGTAGTTTCAAAACCCTCTGCTGGTTTGTTTTTTTTTTTTCTAAATGACGAGGAGAGAGAAAATCACCTGGAACATTTTTATCCTATGTAGGATTTTTATACTTTGAGGAATTTTGTTTGGGTTGGGTTTTATTTTTTTGTTTGTTTGTTTGTAGAGGTTTATTTATTTGAACAATGCAGCACAGGTCGATTCTTGTTCTGCAAAATGTATTGGGGGAAAAAAAAAATCTTAATTTTTATAAGGTTCTAGTTTTATGTGGAACTGAAGCTGTAGATAACTTTTTAATCAGTCTGTTTTAGCTTTTTAAGGTATTTTTTCTAGAACTCTGTAGTAGTAGAACCTAAAAACGCTGAGAGAGAGAGGGAAAGAGCAGATGTGGAACTGTGAGTTGTGCGTAAAGAATTGAGCAGTGTTTGTCTGCTGGATTCTTTGGGGAGGGCTCCTAACCAGTCCAGAACTTCATTGCACAACTTTATGGAATAAAATGACTGCTTTTAGAAATCAGTTGCTTTAAGAAACGTGCTGTGAATTCCTGCGCTCCCAAAAAAAACCCGTTAAGCTCCCAAGTGCTTGTTCTGATAGTTCAAAGCAATCAGCGATTTCGATGCTGCTTCCAGCAGCAATTGCCACCTGCTGGGAATAGTGACCCCTTGCTTCTTTCTGTGTGTTTGTTTGTGTTCCCCTGGCCCCTCGGGCAGCGATTCCTCCAGCAGATATTCCGACTGGATCGCGGATTCCGGGATCAATCTGCAGCCCCCCCTGCGCACCTCGCGCCGCAAAGCGCTCAGGTACTGCAGCACCTCGGAGGACGAAGGGTCAGCAGAGAAACCATCCCCTCCCAAGAGGAGAAGGAGGAAAAGGAGGAAAAAACCCAAACCCAGGAGGCAGGAGGAGGTACCGAATCCGTTGGTTTTGCTCAGTCTTTCAGTAATTTCTCGCTCGGGTTTTTGGCCTCCAAGCTGGGAACTGTTCGGGTGGTTTGGTTGCCCATTTATACTTAGGTTGAATTTCTAATTTTTTATTAGTTACAAGAATCCTACAAAAATTTGTTAGTGAATTTAAACAATTACCCTTTTTTAAGCTACAATAACTACTATTTATTATCTTCTACCATAAAGGAGCAGACAAATTGTTTTTGGGGGGTAATTTTGATGTGGTTTTGCCATGTTTTTCTCTCTTATCATTCCACTTTCTTCCGAGTAGCCTCAAATAGCTTGATAAATTTTTAGTAAGCTGTTATGTGCCAAATGAAAATGGAATGAGTTTTGTATCTGTTCTAACTCTGTGAAGGCTGATGCTGCAGCACAACCATCCAACATGGAATTATCCCATGACTGGCACCCCCCAGTTTGGATCACGGACACGGCTCTCCGGAGATCCCCCTTCGTCCCTCAGATGGGTGACGAGGTAGGAACGCTGATCACAACCTTCCAGCGCTTCTGTGGTTGTTCTGATTCCTAAATGCAGGATAAGATTGACTGTTTGGGGTTTGCTGGGATCTGTTTTAGGTGATCTATTTCAGACAAGGGCACGAAGCTTACATTGAGGAAGTGAGGAGAAATAACATTTACGAACTGAACCCGCACAAGGAGCCGTGGAGGAAAGTGGTGCTTAGGGTAGGTCTGCACTGGGGGCTCAATTCACTCACCTGGGACTGAAGAGTTGCATTAAACTGTTTGTAAAACAACAAGGGAAAGTGTCTTCAATCGGCAGAATGTCCTCAGAGTTCCCTGTGGGAATCCCTGTGTGGGAATTTCAGGTTTGACGGGCTGTCACTGAAATCCCTGACCTAGTTCCAGTATTTTGGGGGGTTCTGCAGCTGTTTAACTGATGTTAAACTGACAATTCTGTGCGTGTTCCCGAAGGGAAAACTCCCTGAAGCTGTTTCCTCTTACCTGCAGGATCAGGAATTGGTGAAAATCGTTGGAATCAGGTACGAGGTCGGCCCTCCCACGCTGTGTTGCCTCAAGCTCGCCTTTATAGACCACGCCACTGGAAAGCACACTGACAAATCATTCTCCATCAGGTGTGTGCATTGCTCCTTTCCTGCCAAGCATTTACAAATGGGCTGCTGCGGAATCTTCCTCCTGAAGCCATGAGGAACTAGTGAAAGAGAGGATTTCTTTCCCTGCAGGTACCACGACATGCCCGACGTCATCGACTTCCTCATCCTACGGCAGTTCTACGACGAGGCCCGGCAGAGGAACTGGCAGGCCTGTAAGTGTGTGTGTGCTGAGGGCTTGGCTGAGCAGTTCTGACATGAGGAATTTGCTAATTCCTGCCTGTCTGTAGGTTCAGAGGTTTCCTTGGTAGGTAAGAATCAGGAATTTGAGCCTCGGAGCTTGATATGGGGTTGTCAAAACATCTGTTGAGATCTCATCTCTTTGTTTTCGTGCCGGTGGGTTTAGAACTTTTATCAGAAAAAGAAGTCAAGAAATAACATTTACCAGCAGTTTTTCTAACTGCCTGAGGAAGAGAAACAATGAAATAAGTTCCCCTGGCAGAGTGTGTGAGCTGAGGGTTGTGCTGTAGCCGACAGGTTCCGCTCCATCATCGACGACGCCTGGTGGTTTGGGACGGTGCTGGGACAGGAACCCTACCAGCCTCAGTACCCAGACAGTCACTTCCAGTGCTACAGTGTCAAGTGAGTACAACCAGATTTTACACTCCTGGTGGTGTGGTTGCCTCTCCCACAGCTGCCTTTGTTGGTGTGAGAATGTGTAAATTGCTCAGTTAAATCATTTTCCCGGGTTGGTGGTTTTAAGTTGCTGACGTAGTAAGGATATGTAAGAACTTGGGGCAGCTTGTTAGTGGATAGTGGGAAAAGGAGTTGTTGACCTCTTCACGTTTTCTGTAGTGAGTAAGGCTGGATCTCCTCCTTGATCTTCTTGTTTGCTTTGGATTCTTTCCCCCAGTGAGAAAAATAAACAGTGAATCCTTATATTCCTGTTTCTGCCATGCCCAGGTGTTCCCATGTCTTTTACAGTCCATTTAATATTCACATGTTCATTGCTGGATGGATGGTTTTTTAATTTCTGCTTCATTCAGAGCCTTTTGAACTTGTTGCTCAGCACAAAGAAAGGAAATATTTGGAGGTAAAAGACAATTCTGAGAGACTGCCAAGGTTGTTACATGTTGTGGTTTCTTGTCTGATCTGCTTTCCTGCTCTTCTGTCCCATTGATTTTCCTTGGTGGGAAGGTGGAATTAACTCCCAGATTGAAGGTCTTGCCTGTTCAGTTACTTCCCATATCTTATAAGAAATAAACTGAAGATAAATTGAGTTTTTTGTTGTTTTATCGGCCAGATAATAATTGATATATTACATTTCTTGGATAAACTGAGCTTAAGCAGAAGTAGGTGGGGTTTAAGCTGGACTAAACCGTGTTGAGAAAGCAGAGGTTTAATTACAAAACACTCTGAGTGTGATCACTGCAATTTCCAGCTGGTTGGAAATAAATCCACAGGAGGTTTTAGACCAAATACCTGAGTTTATTAAGGCCTCAGAATTCCGTGGCATTCACCCAGGAATTTGGGAAACTCTGCCAAGAAGCTGCTGGCAAAGTTCAGGAGGGAGATTGGTGAACTGCAGACTGATACATTTGTTTCTAGAGGGGGGTTAATAATAAAAATCCTCCTGAGCCCAGATATTTGAATGAATAACTTGAATTTCTTCTTTTCTTTTCCTTTTTTCCCTGGTGGATCAGATGGGACAACGGGGAAATCGAAAAGCTGAGCCCCTGGGACATGGAACCAGTTCCTGATAATGGTAGGTAGAAAACTGGTAATAAATTGTTTTAATGTGCTTTTCTTTCTTTCCATTTTTTTCTTTTATTCAGGTATTGAACCTGAGGTGATTCCTGTCTTTGCTGTGAGTTCTTAAAGGCAGATTTGATTCAGATTTAGTCAAATAACTTCAGTATACTCACATTTTTCCCTTTGCACCTTGCAGAGCAATTCTGAAGGGAGTACTTGAAATGTTGGGAGAAAATTTGGGAGTTACTGAGAGAGTAGTTACTAAATAAGCTGTCAAAAAAAAAAAAAAAGACAATAAATTTAATTTATTGCACCACAGCAACCAGTTGACTGCAGGAAGAACAGAAAATGTCTGAGTACAATCCAGAACTCTCCCTGGTTTTGTCCTTTCCAGGCAGAAAATGACAACAAAGCTGTTAAACAGACTTAGTGCATTTACACACTGCATTGTTACCATAACAATGCTTCTAAAAAGGGAATTTAAACCCCTTCTCCTTTGCTTTCCCTTCCTTGTTTTCCACTGGAATGACTTACAGGTTGGGATGGAAACTGTACCTTGTGTTTCCCACTCCCCAAATCTTCCTTCTGATAATTTGGGGTTTTTTTCTGGATCCTGCCAGCATAAGTTTTGTCTCTTGGTTATCAAGACACAGATTCAGATGAATGTTGAAGAACTTAATTTTTGGTGTTGTTTAAAGTGGGTAACAAACACTCTGTCAGGGCAATAATGAACAGAGAACTAGAAATTAGTTGAGTTATTAAGACTAATGAAGGGAAAAACAACAGTACTTTTTGTCAGCTTAGAGGACCCCCCATTAAAACTCGGATTTTTCTCTGTGTTAGTTGTAGCTGAAAGGGATTTTAATCTTGATTTGCAGCATATTCATGGATCAGAGTTATTTGTTAATGCCAGGGAGGGGGTCACGAGCTCTCACCTGCAGCTCTTGAAAGGTTTGTGGCCCAAAGTGGCTCATGGAGTTGTGACCCTGTGAAGTTCAGGATGTGCATCTCAAAAAACAAGTCCTCTCTTAAGTCTTGTGCTTAGGAAAAGGGGAGGAAAGAGTTTTCTGGAAGTTCTGGAAGGATATTTTGCTGTTCCGTGCATTTTGTGCAATCTTTTCCCCGTCGTTTCATCATCAAGCTCCGTTTCAAGGCGTGATGTTTTTTTGCCATTTATGAGTGTGAGTACCACCCAACTGACACTGTTCTGTGTCCTCTCCCTCCCCTGTTGCTGTGTGTGCAGTGGACCAGCCTGAGGAGTTGGGGGGCAGTGTGTCTGTCACCCCACAGGAGGTGGAAAGGCTCCTCTACAAACCCCAGCCAGGGGAGTGGGGGCTGAAGTCTCGGGACGAGGCCTGTGAACGGATTATCAGCGGCATTGACCAGCTTATGACTCTTGGTGAGCATGGAATCAAAAGTTTTAAGGAATTTTCTCCTAACATTGATTTAGAAAGAGCCCTGGAACATCCCATGGCATCCTTTAAACATTCCCTCTTATAAAGTGCTGCAAATTTTCCTGTGGTTTTCTGTGGAGACTGGAGAGGACATCACGCTGCAGTCACAGCTTGAGGGGCAGGACTGAGCTCTGCTCTGGGGGGAGCAGTGACAGCACCCAGGGAAGGGCTGGAGCTGTGCCAGGGCAGGATCTCAGCACAATGATAATCCCCCAGAGGGTGGTTGGCACTGCCCAGGCTCCCCAGGGCAGTGGGCACGGCCCCAAGGCTGCCAGAGCTCCAGGAGCGTTTGGATGATGCTCTCAGGGACATGGTGGGGTTCTTGGGGATGGGATTGGATTCTGATCCTTGTGGGTCACTTCCAACTCAGCACATTCTGTGATAATTTTATAAGGCATTGGTTTTATCAAGGATAATTCTACTTAAAAACTGAACTCCTGCCTCAATTGTCATCTGCCTACAAACTTTGAAGTAGAATCATGGAATGGCCTGTGTTGGAAAGGACCTTAAAGATCATCCAGTTCCAACCTCCTGCAAAAAACCCAAACCATACAGAAATCCTGTCTAAAGGATTTCATGTTAAAAATATGACCTTCATTTAACAATTCGGGATGCAAATGCAAATTATAGGATCACAGAACGGTTTGGGTTGGAAGGGACCTTAAATCTCATCCAGTGCCACCCCTGCCATGGGCAGGGACACCTTCCCCTAGCCCAGGTTGCTCCAAACCCTGGACACTTCCAGGGATCCAGGGGCAGCCACAGCTTCTCTGGGCAACCTGTGCCAGGGCCTGCCCACCCTCCCAGCCAGGAATTCCTTCCCAATATCCAGTCCAACCCTATTCCTTGTCAGTTCAAAGCCATTCCCCCTTGTCCTGTCCCTCCTTGTAAATAGTCCCTGTCCCCCTTCCCCGTGGGCTCCCCTCAGGTACTGGAAGGTGCAGTTCAAACAGTTCAATCTTGTTTTCAAACAGTTCAATCTTGTTGCTGTTGCTGTTTCTCCCCAGACATTTCAGCCCCTTTCTGTGGCCCTGTTGACCTGTGCACCTACCCCAAATACTGCACGGTGATTGCTTATCCCACAGACCTCAACACCATCAGGACCAGGCTGGCCAACAGGTTCTACAGGTCAGTTCTGCCAGGGGACAGCATCATACTGGGACTGGTTGCAGATTTACAACCAACACTGACGATTATTCTCTGAGAAATTCGCTGTGGAAATCACCAAACATTAAAAGGAAAAGCCCTGAAGTTACTTCAGTCCTAAAGGTTTTGAAGTGCTGGACTTCAGTCTCTTTGAATTTGAGGAGAGTTAAGCCCTTAAGCTCTTGAATTACTTTAAGAAATGGGCTTCAACACAGAGGTGAAATGTTAAATATTATCAAATATTTAATATCAAAGCATTTCAAATGAGAAAATTTAAGAGAAGGAGGGGGGAAACTTAAGAGTGTAGTGATGATCAAGTTGTGATGTGCTGGGTGTCCAGAGCTCTAAAATAATTTTAAATACATTTTCCATCTGGACCTGCATTCAGCATGTCTGTAAATACAGTGGAGAGTCATTGATAGTGGTTTTCCTCCTCTCTAAGATGGAAACAATTTATTGGGAAATAGTTTGAAATTCTGTACTTGAAGAACTGCCAGCTTGGGGTGTCCCTGCTTCCCAGTTGTAAGGAATTAGAGAATTGATCTGTCACTTCACAAAGGGCACTGCTTGGCCTGGTGGCCTCAGAGCAAGGCAGAAAGCTGAGATGTCTTTAACAATTTAATTAGACAAAGCTGCTTTTCACCTCTCTTTTAATTGCTTGTGCCTTGTGTTTATTAATTAAAAATCCCTCAGGTACAACTGATGTTCCATTTGTCAGGACCTCTGATGTTTCCAGAAGAAATGGGATCATTTCCAGTGATTAAACAGTACTTTCCCCCCCTTCCTTTTGGTTCAGGTGCTATGTAAGCTCTTAACCAAGGAATCCACAATCCTCAGGATTATTCCTGAGTGGCATTTTATGATTTCCTACTGCTTGCATGGCCTTGTATGGATTTATCTCCCAAACTTTGTGGGGATGAGTTGGAAAAGGAGTCGTTGGACACATGCACTGTTGGTTTGGCTCCCTTGGCTTTTCCACGTGAATGAAAAGTTTGAGGCTGACCCAGTGAGCCATAAACCACAGGACATGTAAATGCAACACAGCCAGATAATTCCTGAGGTGCAATTTTCAAGGTGCAATGTTCTCTGCTCTGCAGGAGGATCTCAGCTCTGGTGTGGGAGGTGAGATACATCGAGAGCAACGCCAGAACCTTCAACGAGCCTGGCAGTGCCATCGCCAGAGCTGCCAAAAAAATCACCACCCAGCTGCTCAAGTTCATCAAGTGAGTGGCGTTTTCATCTCAACAATGTTGGAACCCTCCTGCTCATCAACACTGGCAGAGCATAAACAGCTTAATATCCCTTTTTTCTGTATCCATTCCTAGTTCCTGTCTCCCTTTTTGTATGTAGCTCTTGGTTGGGGTTGAGTTCAGGGCACACCAGCCCTGCTTTTGCTCGTGCAGTAACTGAGATTGAATTGCCTTGCAGTGATCAGGACTGCACCAACATCTTCGAGCTCTGCAGCACCACAGATGATGAACAGGACTGTCACGATGCTGACCTGGTAAATGATTTATGTCACAAAATACCCCCCAGCCTTCAAATTGTTTGAAATTCTTTGCTAATACGAACTGTGGAATATATTAGGAATTTTTATGAATGTTTTATTATCTTCATTATCAGCGAATTGATAATATTTAGTAATATTTAATCCCTGAGGTTCAAAGTCTTATTGCAACTCCTGGTGCTGCTTTTCCCTTTGTGGTAAGGACTGGAGTTGGAGTCAGGAATCTCCCCTGGTGGGATCCAGGATATCGTTTTCCAAGTCTCCCAAAAGCTGTGCTGTGTTTTTTTTTCATCCTCATCTTCTGTCTCCTTGAGAGAATTGAGAATAAAAATAATTTTGACCACAGTATCAATGTCAGGACACTTTGAGCACAAACCACCTCTTTTTTTTTCATGCACCAGTTTTAAGAGGATTGATTTTATTTTGTGCAGGATGATGAAAAATGTGTTCCCAGGACATCCTACAGGAGGAGAAAAGTGAGTTGCCTGATCTTTACCATGGAACCCCCAAATATATATATATATATATTTGGGATATAAATAAAATCATTCATTTACCTGAACACGCTTGGGAAAAATACTTAGAGAGAAGGAGATTATTCAAATTTTTTGGGAATAATGTGTATCAGAAGGTATGGGGTTTGTGCCTTAGAATTAAACATTTTTAAATATATTACAAGGAAATAGTATAATTTGCTAGATTTTCTTAATAGTTTTATAATAGAAATTTCTAATATAATTTATAGTTTTATTACTAAATATTAGAAACATACTTTTTGGTATAAAGCAATGTTTGGAAGTGCATTTTTCTGCCACAAGGAACAACTGCAGAGGGATTATCAAGCTGATTTTTTTTCATGCTGTATTTCAGTAATGCTTTTCCTTATATATATATATTTTTTTTTCCCCCAAGGGACGAGGCTTAAAAAAAGGGAAAAGTGTGAAAAGTGGTTATGATGAGAACTGTTGGAAGAAGCAGTGCATGGAACTGGTGAATTTAATTTTCCAGTGTGAAGATTCCGAACCTTTCAGGCAGCCTGTTGACCTGGATCAGTATCCTGTAAGTTCTTAATAAGCTCCGTAAATAATCTGTGTCATTTTTGGGGTGAAAATAATCTGTGTCATTTTTGGGGTGAAAATAATCTGTGTCATTTTTGGGGTGAAAATAATCTGTGTCTTTTTTGGGGTGAAAATAATCTGTGTCCTTTTTAGGGTGAAAATAACCTGTGTCCTTTTTAGGGTGAAAATAATTTGTGCCTTTTTAGGGTCACAATAATCTGTGTCCTTTTTAGGGTGAAAATAATTTGTGCCTTTTTAGGGTCACAATAATCTGTGCCCTTTTTAGGGTGAAAATAACCTGTGTCCTTTTTAGGGTGAAAATAACCTGTGTCCTTTTTAGGGTGAAAATAACCTGTGTCCTTTTTAGGGTGAAAATAACCTGTGTCCTTTTTAGGGTGAAAATAACCTGTGTCCTTTTTGGGGTGAAAATAATATGTGTCCTTTTTAGGGTGACAAAAATCTGTGTCCTTTTTAGGGTGAAAATAATCTGTTTGTTTTTAGGGTGAAAATAACCTGTGTCCTTTTTAGGGTGAAAATAACCTGTGTCCTTTCTAGGATGAAAATAATCTGCGTCCTTTTTGGGGTGAAAATGATCTGTGTCCTTTGTGTCTTTTTTTCCCTATTTTTTATCCAGGATTACAGGAACATCATAGACACTCCAATGGACTTTGGGACGGTGAAGGAAACTCTGGAAGCTGGGAATTACGACACTCCAATGGAACTGTGCAAGGACATCAGGCTGATATTCAGCAACGCCAAATCTTACACTCCCAACAAAAAATCCAAGGTAGCTTTTCCTTCTGCTTTTTCCCCATCCAGTTTTTCGTTTTAAAGCTGTCACTCTTGGCTAAGAGGGTTGGTTTTTATTTTCCTGCCCTTAGATTTACAGCATGACCCTGAGACTGTCAGCCCTGTTCGAGGAGAAAATCCGAAGGATCGTTTCCGATTTCAAGGCCGGCCAGAAACAGAACGAGAAGCTGCGAAGGAACCAGAGGTACAGCAGGAGGTTGAATAACCAGAGCTCGGGGCAGCAGCCCAGCAAAATGCTCAGGTAACAAATCACCCACGTGCAGACCCTGCTGGAGAATTTTTTTTTTACAGTTCTGTTGCAAAAAAAAAAAAAATTGTTTCATTTTGGGGGGGGGGTTGAAATATTTGAGTCAGGGGAGTCAGTGTTTAATTGGACTGAAATAATGAGGGAGTGAAACAATAAGTTTGCATATATTACATATTTTATCCTGTCCAGAATCAAGTCGGTCCTGTGGAATTTCTGGAAGTTGTCACTTGCTGGAGGGTTCATTTGGCAGCTGCATTTGCTTTGTTTCCTTTGAAGGCAAACAACCTCTTGACACAGCTGCTGTTTGACACAATTACCTCATAGTCTTAATTTATGTGTGGGTTGAAGACGAAAAGGCTACACCTTCTGTGTGCCTTGGAAGCTCAGTTTGTTGGGGGATAACGTTGGTTTGCCTGGGTGTGAGGCTGGGAATTCACCAGCAATCCAGGGTGCAGTTGAAATTCCCTGGGGAACAGCAGGAGGAGATGGATTATCCAGAGGACACTCAGCATTTACATTTCTCAGAGCAGA